AAAGAAGTTAAGGAGAAGAAATAATCTGCTCCTATGTAATTGTCACCAGAACAATTTCCTCAGCTTGTTAATATTTCCATAATTAAAATTAAGAATATGAGCAAAACAACATTAAAGACAGTTCTAATAAAACTAACCCTATACAAACTGAAGAATTAGTAGATGTATCTCCTGTAATAGTGGTTCACAATTAAAAAGTGCAAATCTGTAGACACAACCTAAAAGGAAATACTGTCAAGAAAATAAATCAATTACTAGATGTTTCCAGAATAAAACTACTTTGGATAATCATTTATATTTATTCTAAGATACTTTTCTGGGAAAATTACAAAGTTGTGTAACAATACCTTTACCATGCTCGTCCCAGTTTTCTTATGATGAAATTAGTTATATTCATTAAAGGCTAAAAATATATTATTTCACTAGCACTCTAACCATTAAGTAAACATGATATATTTGAAAGTTTTAAGACAATTACTTTTCAAAGATTTAAAGGGAGCTTGAAGCTTTCTAAGAGCAACAACCTCAAGCTGTTCTTATTCTATTTACATCAGGGGTCACTGAATGCCCTGGCACCTGTAAAAACGGTATCAGCAGAGGAATGTGTCAAAATAGGCCTATTTCATCAGTATTACAAGATCTTTCAGGAAGGCTTAACCCCATACAGAGATTAATTCTGAACAGTCTCAAAATTCTTTTGCAGTTCCAGGATTTGTGAACTTGATAGTGTAGATAGAAGTTGAATAGTGTGTCAGGGAACTCAAATTTTACTTTTACTGTTGTCATTAACTCTTTGAATAATCTTAATCAGAGCACTTCATCTTTCTGGGCCTCAGTTTTAACATAAAATAAGAAACACTCCTGTAAAAAAAAAGTTCATAGTCTTATGACTTTTATTGACAATATCTAGTTTTCTAATGCTGCTTAAACCTAAAATGCAAATGGTAAAATGCATTTAGTAAAATGCAGCTTCCTCAGCAACATCTGCTCATGTCTTTCTTTTCCCCTTTTTGAAGTATACACAGAGATAAAGGTATTAGCACATCAGAATACTCCTTTAGACCCTGTGGCTAACATCCAAAAAATGGTCTCGGTGTATTAATTAATGATGAACTAAAATAAGCAAAGCAGATCTTAATGATTTGACTCCAAGATGCTAAAAGTGATCACTTTGGGCTAAATTACTTAACTCTCAATCTTGATATCATTTAATAGCAATTAAGTGCACACTTAATAGTATGCACAGAACTCCATTTTCTCTTAGCCATCTATCACCTTTCACTTGGAATTTCCAGCCTCTAAGAGGATGGAGAATATGCTCTGTCAAAAATAATTCCACTATTGATGTAGGTACTATTCATTCTACCACAGGACATGAAAGGCTTTACATTTTATTGGTATAAAATACTTGTCTTGCTATCTTTTTGGTCTGGCCCCTATTTAAAACAACATCTCATGGGGTTTGTCTCTTCAACAAATCTCATCTCTACAGAGAAAAACAGAACTGACAATATTACCAAATCATGATGACTAAAAGTATCTTCCCATTCACAAACTGAAATAGGTCATCACTTTTTGATTATGGAGACTTCTCTTGGATCTAACTTAAACTGGAAACAAAAAATAAGGTATAATAAAGTTAAGTATCCTTGAGTTTTACTTTTATCTCTTACTATGATGGGATGATGGAATACCACAAGTGCTTCCTATGTGCCTAGTTCTATTCTGAAGAAGCACCTACCTCAGCTACAGAATAACTCATGCATGCATGTGAGTGTGTGAAGGTATGTAAAAGAGCAGGGAAAAGAGAACATGTGAGAGTATAGCTTAGTTAGAAAAAGCTAAATTATTACAAAAACCTTTATTTGCCCCCAATTGATCAAACTACCCTACAAAGTGATTATAATGCCAAACAAACCAAAAAATAATATAACTGAGAAAAGTGAAGGTAAAGACCTTAGAAATGGCCAAATATATTCAGAGCTTGCAAGAGAAAAGACAGACTGCTCCAGCATCTCTATTAAACAATTTTATCCATCTCAAAAAACCAGACATTTTTTCTGAAACTATGAAGCAGGTTTGAAAATAGCACTTTCCATCAACATAAGCCTTCTCAGTTTAGCCAGCTATGAGTTTTCATCAGATACATGCACAGTAACATACTCAAAGAATAATTCCTATTTTGGACTCCTGTTTGGAAACTTCAGGGGACATTAACATTTTCAAAATGGTGAAGTTTCTTTGCCAAAAAAAAAAAAAATACCAAAAGCAGAACTTCTTAAGAAGTTTCAGTATTCTGTGGATGGACAGCACTCCTTAATGCCTGGCAAAATATGCGCTTTTGCTGCTTTGGTAAAGACAGAGCTCTACAAGTCATTGTGACTCACTGCTTGGTTCATCGGTATGCACTGGGGTGCAAGACTCTATCACCAATCCCGAGAGAAATCTTATCTATGGTTGTGAAAGTATTATACTGCTTCATGATTGCCAAGCCTTGAATCATAGCCTGTGCAAGATGATTTATGAAAAATCTACTGTTGTGTAAGTTGCTAAATTCATGAAAGCCAAGACTTTCAATCAAGGGCTTCTCAAGACGTTTTGCCAAGAAGTAGGAGTAACTATCAAATTCTTTGCTACACCTAAGTTCACTGGCTTTCTGAAGACAAATTCTACACCAGAATTTGAACTGCTGTTAACTAGATAAATACAAACTCATTTACACAGTTTAACTCTTCAACCTTAAAACTAAAATGTGGAGTCATAATTCTTTCCTTCCTAACCCAGCATTATGTCAGGATTTTGCCAAAAAGTGATCTCATGAGCTAAAAGGCAGAGAAAATGATGCAACACGAATTTATCTGAAGTCCTAGAGAATGCTTATTTCTTTAAACAATACTACTTTTGTCCGGCAAAAGAACCTACAGATTCCATTTGCTCTTTCATTCTTTTGTGAGATAGGGTTTTCAGCATCTGTTTTCCCCAAAAACAAAATCAAAATTGACTGAATATCAAGATGACATAGAAGTCGCCAAGTCAAAGACAAACTGAGCAGAACTAAAGCTTAATTTTAGTAATCTATAACACTTAGATTTATTCATCACTCTAATTTACTGGCCACTGATTTTTGCAAAAAAAAAAAAAAGAGAGAGAGAGAGAGAGAGAGAAGTAATAATTTTCAGGGCAATTAAAATCTATAAGCAAAATTTTATGTTCATATGTGGAGTATAAGAACAAAGGAAAACTGAAGGAACAAAACAGCAGCAGAATCACAGAACTCAAGAATGGACTAATAGTTACCAAAGGGAAAGGGACTGGGGAGGATGGGAGGGAAGGGAAGGATAAGGGTGGGAAAAAAGAAAGAGGGCATTACGATTAGCATGTATAGTGTGTGTGGGGTACGGGGAGGGCTGTGCAACACAGAGAAGACAAGTAGTGATTTTACAGCATCTTACTACGCAGATGGAGAGTGACTGTGAAGGGGTATGTGGGGGGGACTTGGTGAAGGTGGGAGCCTAGTAAACATAATGTTCTTCATGTAATTGTAGATTAATGATACCAAAACAAAAATTTTATGTTCAGGTATACTATGAACATTTTTGTGGGAGAATATTTACAGCTTTTGTTATATCTTTATAAGGTATATAAGAAACAGTTTAAGTGCCCCTGGCTCACATGTAGCATTCTGGTTCCCCATTAAACAATTTTCCATTACTATTTTAACTTCTTCTTACCTAACTTTTATCACTACCTGTTTTAAGTTTCTACCACTGCTTCTAAGACTGCATTTTAATTTGACCCATTTCTCTATGGTTTTCTTTCCATTCAGTCTTTTCCCTGCACTGTCCTCACATTTACTCACTTTGGTGTAGAACAATTTACCTTCTACATTTTCATCAGCTCAAAGCAATTGTTTCCACTTAAGATTATGAAAAATGAACCAAGTAAACATCTCAAGATACTCCACTCTGGAATTCATTCTAGTGCTATCATCTCACAATGTACACAGTATACAGAAATGTAAGGCTACCTATCATTATGAACATTAACCAAGATCATGCACTAATATGTAAGATTCAACTTTTGTAAACTACCACCAATAAACAGTACTTTGGCATCCTTAGATTTAATTTAAAAAAGTCACAAAGACAAAACAAGAAATGAGGAAGGAATAAGGGAACCAGGAACCAGTACTACTACCCAGCTCAAATGATAGAAACAGCCACTTAGGTTTCTGTCTTGAAGTTGAATTAAAAAGAAATTAGCTTAAGCTGGAAGAGAATTTTCCTGAAGGTAAACATTATTAAAACTAGAATAAATTCTTCACATAGTTATTACATCTCCCTCAATAGAGCTCTCTAAATAAGCTATGCCTTCCATCTGGAATGGTTTGGAGTTTTTTCCTTCTTGTAGACAGGGAAATGCACAAAATCTCTGTAAGAAATGTAAACATGGTATCATCCAAAGAAATGAATCTCTTGAAAATCACTGTAAAAGTTATCCCAAGAGTTGACTTTTGCTTTTAAATGTACAGCACAAATTAAATGTCATTGATTTTCAACATGGTCTTTAATCTTTTGAATAAGAGAAGAACTTTGACTAATTTTAACTATATTCATGAATATTCATATCAAAGAATAACCTTTACATATTATAAAGATCACACTTTAATAGGTAATGGTATCCAAGACATTTTATTCTCAAGCTTCAGAAATATCAAGCTTACTTTTTGATCAATATGCTGCTTTTTAAAATGTTTTGTAAGGATTTTATGACACCAAAAACACAATATAATAAATGGGTAAGATTTGCTAACATGATAAAAAATGCTAGCATGAACAGAAAAGTTAAATCAGTCATTCGCTTATATGAAAGTTAAGGTAGTAACTGATTTAAATGTTTAGAAGAAATAGGGTTAGTAACTATCTTTTTTTAAAAAAGTCTGCTTTCCAATACGTTCTCATATCTAGGACGAAGAAAAAAAAAAATCAAATAGAACTTACCTTTTTGTCTCTGGTCCTTACTTCTCCATAGAAATCTAGGGCCTCTTGTGCCTTTAAAAATTTGCCCCGATGTAACAAATACGCACAAATCATTACACCAGTTCGTCCCTTTCCAGCTTTACAGTGAATTGCTGCAACATGATTGTCATCTTCACTTAGCCATTGGTCAAGATCTTCACAAAAGGGTTTGATAAGTTCTAGCTGTGGTGGATTATGGTCTTCAAAAGGGTACTGTGCAACTGTGGTAAAAACATAACCTCATTCATTATTAAATGAAGTTTCAGGTATTTTCACATGGGTTAGTAAGAACCCAAAACTTCTCAATTCCCCATTCAGAGTTGAGGGTTTTTTAAATTTGTCTAGAGATAGGACTTCAAATATATCACTATTAAGTTTTATCTTTTTAGTCTCTGCCTTAGTTTCACTTGATTAAGATCCTTCAAAATCCCGACATTTAATGTACCTAATTATCCTCTATATCGTGTAAATATGTGAAAAGTATTTCTTATATTTTCAACCAAGTCATTCATAATATAGTACAGGATACAATCAGTTAAGTCCTCTGATGTGACCGGAGAGCTCTTCTGGTAGACAATGACTACCAACCACTACATGGGGACAGCTGTCACTTAATCATCTGCCTAAATGTACTATCATTCTATCTTCATTTCCCCAGTGGCACACAGAAACATGCAGGAAAACCTATTGAACATCATTTAAGCTAGACAAACCTTGACTGAAACACACTTTGCCTAGTAAGCAGTGCCTAAATTCACAACAGAAACCTTCTTAATGAATCTATACTGGCTCTCAGACATTACTGTTTCTCAATTCTCACACCAAACTGTGTGAAAAGTCCATTCTAGATTTTTAGGAAGGATCAGTGGCAAATATTTCAACCTGTAGTGCCTGGTACCACTTTCTTTTTTTGATTATCACATAGTACCCGCCCAACTTCTCAACTCTCCAGTTCTTTCATGGCTTAAGGGGTTCCACAAATGCAAATGAAAGTTTCTGTGGGCTCTGAGACAGAATCTACTATACCTGGAGAAGAATTCATTTAAAGAAGTTCCCTACTCGTATTTACCAAGCTACTCTTACCTGTATTTGTTATATTCTTTTCCACCTTTTATGTGACGTCCTCAACAGAATTAAGTTGTCTGCTTTCTCTCTATAACCTTATTATTACACCAAATGCCTCAAACAGTAGATAAACCCCCAACTTAGTCTATTGTTAGTCTAGGAATTTCTCCTAATTCTTAGTCTATTCTGCAATTTAGTTTTCCAAATACTACTGGCAGGTTGTTATGATACTTACTTCCTAAAAGACAACAGAGAAATTTATCTTTCATATTTTCTAAGATCACCCTTTAGATAAATATTTATCTCAGTAATCAAGATTATCATTATTGCTATGACAGTAAGACTTACTCTATTAGTTTTGTTATATAATATAGTAAAGTACATTTATACCTACCTCTGCAGTTAAATTTGGCGGTATCATAATGTCTTTCAGCACACCTAAAAGAAAGTTTAAAAATGATAAAAAGTTAGTGATAAAAAGTTTTCTTTTGTACTTAAGAAAAAAAGTACAGTAACATTTTTTCTGAACCTTTCTAATGTACCAGTTATTATATTAAGTGTTTCATATTAAATATTTATTTTATTTCTAAGGATTCTAAGAAATAGACACTGTTATTATCCCCACTTTAAAATTAAGGAAATCACTTAAAATGTTAAGTATGTGCAATTAGAGCTTATACATTTGCTTACAAAACTTGTGATGCCACTAATATATAACATTGCAAATTCAGCTACATCTACACTTTCAAATTTCCTTTGTGGAAAGTTTGCATGCTGATAGAATTTATTTTGATTTTACCAGTATGTGTAAACAACCAACTAGTTTCAGTATTATCTTTACCTCACAGTTGATCATACACAGTTTCCCCAAACTATTATTTAAAAAGATGTATGTTAAAAATAATAAATTATAAGGGTAAAGGAAAAGTAATGAACTGAATGATGCTAATCTACTCAAACACAACACTTAGTAAAATTTCTTAAACCAGACCCCTCTCTCTTTAGATAAGCCAACAGTCATCTTCTTCAATAATCTCTCAGGTGACAAACTTTGACTAAAGCCTGAGAGTAATGAATGAGTAATAAGTAAAATCAATGCAGAACAGTAAAATGTTGAGCATGCTAAAATTTGCCTTTTAAACAGCAGTGGTGCACTTGTTATCATGCACTGGCTTACTCATGATTAAGAGGCCGTATTTATAAACATTAATAGGCTTAGAAAGAGACCCCATATTCTAGTTTGTGGTCAGCAGCATCCTGGTTAACTCCAACCACTAACCAAACCAGAGTTCTAAAAAATTACTTAAAATAAAAACTTAGCTAAGGTCCACAGCTCCTTAATCCAAAACTCCAAAATTCCAGAAGTTTAAAACATATAACATTTTTTATTAAACTTATGGCAAACTCAAATGCAACAGAATCTGATCTGAGTTTAGGACACTGCATGTAGACCTCAATTAATACACTTAGAGTGAAGAGTAAAACATTTCATTCTAGGCATTCCAAACCTCCTTTGTTATGTAATACAAAGTATATGCCTCCATGTTAACTTTCTGAAAACTGAAAAATTCTAAACACTGAAACACAACTGGTCCCAAGAGTTTCAAATAAATGACTGTGGGCCTACATTTTATATTTAGAAATTCTGACAGTACCTGTATAATTCCTCTACTTTAAATAGTTTTAAGCCCAAACTCACATGAAGGTTGAAATAATTATATACAAATTGCAATCCACTGGTTTAATGAGACCTGAAATAAATCAACTTTCATATTGCAACTCAAAACAAAGTTTTTCTATTTTAGCATATTATAATTTAATATGTTGAGCTTTGCTAGAAAGAAAATATATTTAGTAATGACATATACACATATATGCATCCTTGCTAAGTAATTTCATACACACTCATACTAAAAAAAAAAACGAAAACATGACAGGTACAAAGAAGAAGACTGACCAAGAAAATAGTAACATTTTACACTTTCTTTGTTACAGATTAAAGAAGAGACATGGTCACCAGTGAAGAGTCCATAAAGGAATATTTTATCAAGTAAAGACAGAGCTTAGGATGCAATGGGGGGAGGTACAAACTAGGAAACACTTCTAAAGTAATCTCATGATAGCAAACAAAAAATAAACATTTTGAGTTTTATGCAGCTTCAGTTGTCTAAAATTCCCATGCTTTCTCAGGAGCTCAAAATGTTTTGACAAACATTGTTTAAGACTACCTTCATAAACTCATTCTCAGATATTACTATTAAGAAAAAAATGGATGGGAAGTGGAAATAATGAGCTACTTAATGCCTACAAGATATGCACACCTTAAAAAGGAGTTTCCATGTTTTATGATTCATCCTCAGGATTACAAGATAACAGTTAATGTATCTCCGTTTTATATATGAGAAAGCAAAGATTTGGAAGAGTATTAAAAAACTTGCCCCAAGTAAATGGAAGAGCCAGGACTCAAACCCAGACCCTCTTATTACAAAAGTCAAACTTTTTCCAGTACTGCTCCATATTCCCACTTTTAATAAAAAATAGAAAAATTTGAAAAAAACAATAATAAATTTTACTCTAAGTCAGCTTCCCTAACAAGAGCAATATTTGGTACAAAAGTGAAAATGAAAACATGAAAAAGTCATGAAAATCTTAGATATGGATAGGGAATATGAGAACATACACTGGAATGGATAGCGATGAAAGTGACCCTGCGAGAGATTTGTAGGGTAAGAATGAAGACTCTCTTATTAAAACCTTCTCCGATAATGCACGCACATACATACACACACACAGTTTCTTGTAAATATTTTGCAGTATGTTAGCAGTAAGAGGAATTCTCTACAAACCCAAACTGGAAGATACATAAATGGCAAATGGGATTTGACTAAGGCAAGTGTTTTAGGCAGATCTAACCATTTATTTATACATCGTTATATCTAAAACTCAAAAGATATTGTATTTTTTATTATCACTTCATATTGATTTATATGAGACAAGAGAAATGAAGAAGGACTGAAAGAGGGTTTTTAATGAAGCAGAAGTCAGAAAGTGAAGAAGGGATAAATTAATAGGAAAAGTTGTCAGAGAAGTTAGACTTGCCATAGAATCAGCTAGGCATATAGATCTCTTTATGCTCTTCAAAGAAGCTATCCTTATCTTACAAAAGAAAACTGAACAGATAAAAATTAACAGCAGCTAACGGTGTACCAAAAAATGATGGCGAGTTGTATGTCAAATAGAATATATAATGAAATACAGTAAATCTTTTAATAACTAATATCCAGTGAACATTTAAGTTCCTCAAAGGCAAGAACTATATTATGCCTTTATTCTCTGTCTCCCCCATCCTCCACTTATCCCCGACCAGAACACAGATTATACAGAGGAACATATAAAAAATGAAATCACACACTTGCACAAAACAAACTAATTAACTAAGTATCAGTATACCCAAATTTGATTAATGATATGAGGCTAGATTTATTCTTATTGAATGCCTAATATGAAGATATAAACAGATACAGTCAATTATCAGAAAGTCCCACATTAAGCACCTCTTCATCATGTATATAATTGCCATAAAAAGTTTAATACACCATTAAATACAGATATATCTAGTGCACATTTTATATGACTGCAAAGATATACCTCCCATGTAATTAATATCCTAAAAGTAAAAGAAATATAACAGAAACATCTATTGCTTGCCAGACTCACTTACAGCAGAGCCAGAAATATAAACAAGGGTAGAAAAAAGTAACAACTGAAAAGTGGCATCAGGAATCAAAACATGCTATAACTTGGTAGTTCCAGAAACTTCTGAAGTAAAATTTGGGGAGGTTAAAACAAACAAACAAACAAACAAAACAAACAAACAAAATCAGAAAGGGAATATTGGCATAAACAGTGGATGGTCTGCTACCTTATGTACCTGTGTGACCTTGTTCAACTCACTTAACTTCTCTAGGCCTCAGATTCCCCATCTGTAAAATGAGAAGGTTGGACTAAATGATCTCTTTCAGGTACTTTCCAGTTCTGAAAGTCTATGATCCCAATAAGCAGAGGGGGGAGGGGGAGTTAAACTATATGCACCAAAAGCTACTCTCAACTAATAATGAGACAGTTAACTTGGGAGTCCAATGTATAGAAATACAAAACAAACAGGCAGTCGAGTTCCCAATGTCAACTTTAACCATAATAACATAAGTAACCCATAATACTGAATGTACAAGCCTAAATCCTAAATTCTGCAAGTAGGAAGCCACTACATGAAAAGAATTTCCTTCCCTTCTTTGGATATAATTTCAGACTTGAATAAAATTCTGGGAAAGGTAAAATTTGTCTTTAGTATCTTTCTACTTTCCTCTTGGACTCTCTAAATGCCCAGTCCTGACGGCATAAACCTGAAATGACTCATTTAATGGACTTCAGCTTTTGATAGGATCTTGTCCTGCCTTTCCTTTTTTTTTTTAATTTAAGCTCTGAATCCAGTTGTTCAAAAAGTACAGTTTTATGGTTTTTATTTTCCTCCACAGAAACACTATGGCATCTGTAGCAAGGTTTGTAGGAGAGGTTAATCAGGAAAAGAAGAGGATACATGCACAGATCTTTGTAAGTTGGGGCCCAACCTAAACTACAGGGTCTACAGCGTCTTTTACTTTTTCTCATCTTCTTAACTATTACCACCACACCCTCCAAACACACACATACCATAATCTGACTCTATGGATCATGTACCATATTCTTAACACCATTACATCAACAAACTTCTTACACGCCATTCTCTCTGCTGAAAATGCCAGTCCCCATCCCCCTCCCCAACCCCTACCCTGAGTTCTGAGGGTCAACCTCTACTGATTCTTTACACCCCAGCTCACACATAACTTTATAAAACCTTCCCTATGGGGTACAGTTACTACTTTCAGGGTTCTCTTCTACAGAAGGGTCACCTCTTCCGAGATATTCTTTCACATTAGACTATAAACTACCTGAGACTAGAACTACACTTTATTCACCTCTGTACTGCCAACATATTTTATAATACCTAATATGCGGCAAGCACTTGATAACTGCTTCTTGTAAATCTGAGGAAGTTAGTGAAAACTCACTACGAAAAACAACACTGGTGGCTACTTCACACTTCACTCTCAGGTATTCTGAGGTCTTATCACAACAGAAAGACCACTAAGGACACAAAAAGCAACATCCCACAAGCCAGTAAGGCACAGAGAATCTTTCATCACTTTTGGTTAAGATTTAAATGCCCACTGAAGGCAGAATCTTGTTCTTATATTTGATAAATACTCTACAGAAATTTTAACAGTGAATTAGTTTATATAACTTTGGATAAAAAAACTTTCCCACTGCATAAGTTATAGATATCACATAAGAAAAATATAAGCCAGGTAGAAAAAGAACATATTTTATATACCACTTCT